CCATTTAAAGAAGGTATTTTTAGTTTTAATACAAAAGGAAGTTCAGGTTCTCCGATTTCAATGGTGACAGACCCTTCTGGTTGGTGGGATACTTATAAAAATGGTAAAACTACCCAGTTAGCTCAAGAAAATCTTGATTATCAAAAAGGTTTACAACAACAGATTTTTGAGCGTGAAGATACTGCTTATCAGCGTACTGCTAACGATATGCGTTTAGCTGGTTTAAATCCACTTTCAATGAATGGAACTAACGGTGCCGGTGAAGTTGTAGATACTACCCCGCCCGAAGATATGGGAAATCTTGCTGCTTTAACTCAAGTTTTCAATATGTTTAATTCAATGCGTTCTGGTAATGCTTCCGCTAATTTGCAAAATGCACAGGCTGCTAATTTACAGAGTCAAACAACTACTAATGATATTTTAAATAAATATTATGAAGATACTCTTGATTTGGAAAATGTTGGTAGACAGTTTGATAATGAAATGAAAAAATTTCAATTTAAGAGAATTGCGTCGTAATACTGCTTTCAATGATTTATACGGTTTATCTGATAATATGACACCTGAGTTGAAAAGTATGGCTTTTTTAAGTGGTCATGGTCCTTTATCTACTATTAATCCTAATACTGAAAACTGATATTAATAATTTTGGTAGAAAAATTAATCATTCTAACCATGATTATTCAAAAAATATTGATTTTACTACAGCTATGCAATCTGACAAAATATTAAATTATATTTTAAGAATTGCTCAAACTTATGGAAATTTAAATAGATGATAAGAGATTTTAAAACTAGTCAATTGTTAGGTTATAAGAAAGAATTGAAAGATGTTCTCGAAGGTATTGATTCTGCTTTAAATGCTCGTGCTTCTTTGTTAGAAGATTTTAGTTCTACTGCTAAAGCAGAAGCCGCTATTCGTGATTCTCTTTGTGATCCAGAGTTTTATTATTATATAAAGTTCTTGGATAAAGCAATTTCTATAGTGAGGTTATATAATGCTCGTGAATGGTCTGATGATGATGATTCTCGCTATCACTTTTCTATCCGTACTTATAATTTCTATCCGTCTGATAATTACGGATTACAATATAGAAAATATTCTAATCATTGTGATTACGGTGATTTTTCTGATATTGCTGATATATGGCCTTATATGCGTGTTTACGCTTCTCAATTAATTTGTGAAGTTGGAAAGATTGTTCAATCTGAATTAATGCCTTTGGAGATTTATTAATATGGCTTGTGCTCAACCTTTTTTAATTTCTAATCCTCATTATAAAGACTGGCGATATACAAACGCTATAAAACCTTATTTGGAAGTTCCTTGTAACTGGTGCTTGAATTGTCGTGTAGACCGTCAAAACTGGTTATGCGATGCGATGAAATATGAGTGGAAAAAATATAATTATAAAGCTTCTTTCGTTACTTTTACTTATGATGATATACACTTGCAAGAGTTAAATAATGTAGTTGCTGATGACTTTGTTATTGTAAAAGATGATGACGGAACAAAACATAAATTATTAATGAAAGGTAATAAACCGATTGAGTTTAGCTTGCGTAGAAAACATGCTAAAGATTTTCTAAAACGTGTTCGTTCACAAATTGATTATTACTATGAAAAATACAATATTGAAAATTTTGAAAGTATTAGAAAAGATTTTAAAACATTCTACTGTGGAGAATATGGCGATATTTTTGGCCGCCCTCACTACCATTTTATCTTTTTCGGTCTTGCTCATGATTTTTGTGAAGAGCTTTTAAAGGATTGCTGGCAGAATGGCTTAATAGATGTATTGCCAATTAAAGATGGTGCGTTTGAATATGTAACTAAATATTTACAGAAACAATTGCACAGTTCACAAGCTGAGGAAGTTTATGATAAAAATAGTCTTGAACGTCCCTTTTGTTCTCATTCTTTAGGACTTGGTAAAGGAATTATTCTTGATAATTTAGATTATATTAAATCGCACTCTGGTTGTTATTTGACAGATAATAACTTACTCCGCCCTATTCCGATTTATTATAAAAATGCTCTTAAAATTAGAAGCACAATTTCTAATAAGCGTGTTTGTAACAATATGATTTCTCTAGGAATGAAAGCTGATAACCCTAATTTTTTAGCTGGTTTAAATTATGCTAATAGATATTCATTAAAAACTATTAATGAGTTTAGGAAACAACAGGCAATATTAAGACACCAGAAACTTGAAAGACAGTATTCTAATTCTGGCCAATCTTATGAACCTTTGATTTCATATGGATATTCAGGACATGATAAAATTCTTGAATTGGTAAAATCTGCACTGTTAGATACAGTGCCATTCTAGGAGGTAAGAATGAATAAGAGTACTGTACAGAAAGTTATAGGCTATATTATTGATATTGCAAAACTTGTTCTGCTTTGGCTTGGTGCTGTTAATTAAAGGTTTTTAAAATGGATATTGTTGAAATTAAATCTTATATTCAGAAGTTGGAAAATATGACACAGCAGCAATTTAATGCCGAGGTTGTATTTGTTAATTGGTGTTTAGCAGAGGACAGGATGAAAAAAGAAATTCTTGATTCTTTGCAAACTGATAAAAAATTTTGTGATAATTTGGAGTGATTATGAAATCTAATCTTTTAGGCTGTGCTGTTTACGATAAAGTTCGTGAACAGTTTATGTATTTGTCTTTTGTTAATTCCGTTGAGGAATACATTAGAAGTAATGTTGAAAATGTTATTCAGGCTTGTAAAAACTTGAATGATGTAGATGTATATGTTCTTTGTGAATACGACGTTGATAATGGTGACTTTATTCCCTGTAAAGTTAAACATGATTGGTCAGAGTATAAAATGCCTTTATCTAAAGCTGACGCACTTGCGCCACTTGGCGTTGAATTTGCTAAAGAAGCTCTCGAATATGAAGCATTTAAGGCTTCTAGAAAACAGGAGGAATCTAAATAATGGCAGACCGCTATTCTAATTTAAATGGTACTGCACCTGAAACAGACCCAACTAAACAGAAGTCTGTCAAAGTTCCAAAATCGGACTTTAATCTTTCATGTGCAAAGTATTTTAAAACAATTGACGGCTTGATTGTACCTTTTCATTGTATTCACGTATTGCCTAACAGTTCACATGATTTAGGTGTTCAGATTCGTGCAATTATGACTAATCCATATGTTAAACAGTTGCTCACTGGTAAACGTGGCTATGTTCACGCCTACCATAGTAACTGGTCAGATATTTGGGAAGGTGCTACTGAACTTATCAAAAAAGGTCGCTCGTTTAATGTAGAACTTGAATTTCCACATTTTAACAAAGTGATAAAAAAAGGTAATAAGGAATATACAACACACGTTGCTGGTGCTCCTTCTTCTTATCTTGGTTTACCTGTATATAAATATGATACAAGTAAATCACCACTTGAAAATATTAAACCAATTGCTCTTGATAATGCAAATGCAAAAACTATCAATAATTATGATAATTTTGAACATAACGCTTTACAGCTTGCTATGTTCCAGCAGATTTATCAGAGTGCTTTTTTAAATAAGAATCTTGTAAATAATAATACTGCTTGGTTGCCACAGGTTGAAAACCATTTTGTTTTGCCTTTGGAAGTATCTGGTAAAGCTGTTGCACAGTTGTCTTATGACGCAGACCAGTCGCAGGTAAATGAGGTTTCTGACGATGAAAACTTTGAATTTAATTCAGACTATTTCGTTCCTACTGATAAAGCGCCTGACACTGAAATATCTAAATCGAATAAGCCTTTTTTAAATGCTCCTCGTTTTAGACAGTTTAAAGGTGATATGTTTGTTAGTGGTTCACCATTTGCAGATTTAATGCGTGGTGATACTCCTGTTATGTCATTTGCTGATTTAACTGGTTCTATTAACTGGGATAATGTTGTTGCAAATTATACTAATAACAATGCTAATGTTGTTGTTAATACTGAATCTTCTACTCTTGCCTCTTTTGGTAATTCTTCTTCTTTTAAATCTGCTCTTGATAAGGCTATAGTTACTGTACAGAATCAACTTCAGTTTAATCTTAATTCACTTCGTGCTCTTGATGTTTATACATTACTTGGTGAACGTGCAGCTAGAACAGACGGTACTTATAATTCATTTATTGAAGCTATGTTTGGTGTTAATCCAAAAATGCATAGTCACGAACCTCGTTATCTTGGCGGTTTCTATCTTGACTTTGTTAACAATACTATTGAGCAGACTTCTGAAACTGGTGAAACTCCTCTCGGAACTGCTGTTTCTCGTGGTGTTTCAAACGGTAATGGCCACATCGGAAAGTTTACATTTTATGATCATGGTTATATTATGTTTGTTCTCTCAATTGTTGATGAAACAGTTTATACTAACGGTGTATCTAGAGATTGGACTTCCCTTACCTTTGATGAACAATATCTTCCACAGTTTAACAATCTTGCTCCACAGGCCACATTGCAACAGGAATTGTTCTTAACTGGTAATAAAGCCCAGAATGAAGAGCCATTTAACTTTGTAGAACGTTTTAGCCACCTTAAGAGTGAACAGAATCATGCTGTAGGACAGATGTCACTTCCAGCTTATCTTAAAGACGGTACTCCAATTGATTTGGAAAGTGCAGCATTTATTCATAGTCGTAAATTCTTTGATAAAGTTGAATTTAATAATAAGTTTGTAACAATGAGTATTGATAATCTCGATATGTCTCCTTATGCTTCTGCTGAAGATTATCCTTATTTAGTTACTGCTTTAATTCAAGACGAAGCTGTTGCGCCTTTGCCATATATTACTGTTCCTTCTGGATTAACTATTATGGGAGCTTAGCCAATGAAAAGATTATGTTATTCTTCTAGAGATTGTGGATTTATTTGGAAAAATTGGAAACCTAAAGTTGTTACCGATTTCGGCCCTTCTGTTACACAGAAAAAGAAGTATGTAACTGATAAAGTTAGAATTAATAATCAGGAAGTTACTACTGGTTCTTCTCGTACTGCTTTATATACAATGCCTGACGGAATTGATAATGGTGTTCGTTATGCTGCTTTGTATGAGCAGAAAGGACTTGATCCAACTGAAATTGAAGCTAATAAACAGCTTCTTGCTAATGCTAAAGAATCAGTTGAAGAAATGATTTCTAACGAAGTGCAGAAAGAGCTTGAAACTGTACAGGTTTCTAAATCTGATAGCAACGCTAACGAAGGTTAGTTTTTTAAATCTCTCTCTTAATAAAGTGTTACTCCTTTTCACTTTTCCCTATCTATTCTTGATAGGGTTTTCCCCTTTAACCTTACAAAAAAGGGTTTAAGGGGAAAAATGTGTTGTCCCCTTTTTACCTAATTATAAATTATATATTCTTCTTTATTCTTCCCTTAGCGTTAGCCCCCCCTTAGTCGCTTGACTTCAAGGGGGGGCGTACAAGACGGGGGTTGCCATAGAATGGCCATACGCGCGTGCGTGCGATTAACGCGTGCGTGTGCGAATGGCTTGATATTACAATTCTTTAATTCACTAGATTACTTTTATAATCTAGAACTTGCCGAGTTATCCGCAAAATCCACAGTGCGTAGGCTCTTAAATTAGCCGTAGCTACTGTGGAGTTGGCGGGTAACTCGGCATATAACCTACTTTAATTCACTAATTTTCATATTTTTACATACTATATATTTGTATATGTTTCTTGTGTTTTTCTTTATGTGTGCCTTGTTCCACATAAAGAAAAACTGACAGAATGTAAGAAATGTATTGTATAAAAATAAATTTGACAAACATATATTTGTGTAGTATAAAATATATAAATACTTAAATAATTTGTATCGAAATGTATTGACAAATACACAGAACACATATTATAGTAAGTACAACGGATGACAGAATGTTATTCAGTCGTCTAAAACAGTAGATTAAATAGCTTGTTAAGTTTCCTTTAGTCACTGTTGTATTATTATCGGTCTTGAGTACTGGAAATCATTTGCTACGTGTGGTTTCCAGTGCTCTCTTTTCGAGGTACTTATTATGCATAGAGTTAAAAGTTCTGATTCTAGCCCTGTATCATTTCGTTGTGATTCTGATCTAAATAATTTATTTCAGAAAAAATATCCTTATTGTTTAAGTCAATTTTTAAAAAGAGCTATGAAAATGGCGCTCAATGATAAAAAATTTTTTGATAAAGTATTTTTTAGTGAGGTTGAATAATGAATCCATTTAAAGAAGGTATTTTTAGTTTTAATACAAAAGGAAGTTCAGGTTCTCCGATTTCAATGGTGACAGACCCTTCTGGTTGGTGGGATACTTATAAAAATGGTAAAACTACCCAGTTAGCTCAAGAAAATCTTGATTATCAAAAAGGTTTACAACAACAGATTTTTGAGCGTGAAGATACTGCTTATCAGCGTACTGCTAACGATATGCGTTTAGCTGGTTTAAATCCACTTTCAATGAATGGAACTAACGGTGCCGGTGAAGTTGTAGATACTACCCCGCCCGAAGATATGGGAAATCTTGCTGCTTTAACTCAAGTTTTCAATATGTTTAATTCAATGCGTTCTGGTAATGCTTCCGCTAATTTGCAAAATGCACAGGCTGCTAATTTACAGAGTCAAACAACTACTAATGATATTTTAAATAAATATTATGAAGATACTCTTGATTTGGAAAATGTTGGTAGACAGTTTGATAATGAAATGAAAAATTTCAATTTAAGAGAATTGCGTCGTAATACTGCTTTCAATGATTTATACGGTTTATCTGATAATATGACACCTGAGTTGAAAAGTATGGCTTTTTTAAGTGGTCATGGTCCTTTATCTACTATTAATCCTAATACTGAAACTGATATTAATAATTTTGGTAGAAAAATTAATCATTCTAACCATGATTATTCAAAAAATATTGATTTTACTACAGCTATGCAATCTGACAAAATATTAAATTATATTTTAAGAATTGCTCAAACTTATGGAAATTTAAATAGATGATAAGAGATTTTAAAACTAGTCAATTGTTAGGTTATAAGAAAGAATTGAAAGATGTTCTCGAAGGTATTGATTCTGCTTTAAATGCTCGTGCTTCTTTGTTAGAAGATTTTAGTTCTACTGCTAAAGCAGAAGCCGCTATTCGTGATTCTCTTTGTGATCCAGAGTTTTATTATTATATAAAGTTCTTGGATAAAGCAATTTCTATAGTGAGGTTATATAATGCTCGTGAATGGTCTGATGATGATGATTCTCGCTATCACTTTTCTATCCGTACTTATAATTTCTATCCGTCTGATAATTACGGATTACAATATAGAAAATATTCTAATCATTGTGATTACGGTGATTTTTCTGATATTGCTGATATATGGCCTTATATGCGTGTTTACGCTTCTCAATTAATTTGTGAAGTTGGAAAGATTGTTCAATCTGAATTAATGCCTTTGGAGATTTATTAATATGGCTTGTGCTCAACCTTTTTTAATTTCTAATCCTCATTATAAAGACTGGCGATATACAAACGCTATAAAACCTTATTTGGAAGTTCCTTGTAACTGGTGCTTGAATTGTCGTGTAGACCGTCAAAACTGGTTATGCGATGCGATGAAATATGAGTGGAAAAAATATAATTATAAAGCTTCTTTCGTTACTTTTACTTATGATGATATACACTTGCAAGAGTTAAATAATGTAGTTGCTGATGACTTTGTTATTGTAAAAGATGATGACGGAACAAAACATAAATTATTAATGAAAGGTAATAAACCGATTGAGTTTAGCTTGCGTAGAAAACATGCTAAAGATTTTCTAAAACGTGTTCGTTCACAAATTGATTATTACTATGAAAAATACAATATTGAAAATTTTGAAAGTATTAGAAAAGATTTTAAAACATTCTACTGTGGAGAATATGGCGATATTTTTGGCCGCCCTCACTACCATTTTATCTTTTTCGGTCTTGCTCATGATTTTTGTGAAGAGCTTTTAAAGGATTGCTGGCAGAATGGCTTAATAGATGTATTGCCAATTAAAGATGGTGCGTTTGAATATGTAACTAAATATTTACAGAAACAATTGCACAGTTCACAAGCTGAGGAAGTTTATGATAAAAATAGTCTTGAACGTCCCTTTTGTTCTCATTCTTTAGGACTTGGTAAAGGAATTATTCTTGATAATTTAGATTATATTAAATCGCACTCTGGTTGTTATTTGACAGATAATAACTTACTCCGCCCTATTCCGATTTATTATAAAAATGCTCTTAAAATTAGAAGCACAATTTCTAATAAGCGTGTTTGTAACAATATGATTTCTCTAGGAATGAAAGCTGATAACCCTAATTTTTTAGCTGGTTTAAATTATGCTAATAGATATTCATTAAAAACTATTAATGAGTTTAGGAAACAACAGGCAATATTAAGACACCAGAAACTTGAAAGACAGTATTCTAATTCTGGCCAATCTTATGAACCTTTGATTTCATATGGATATTCAGGACATGATAAAATTCTTGAATTGGTAAAATCTGCACTGTTAGATACAGTGCCATTCTAGGAGGTAAGAATGAATAAGAGTACTGTACAGAAAGTTATAGGCTATATTATTGATATTGCAAAACTTGTTCTGCTTTGGCTTGGTGCTGTTAATTAAAGGTTTTTAAAATGGATATTGTTGAAATTAAATCTTATATTCAGAAGTTGGAAAATATGACACAGCAGCAATTTAATGCCGAGGTTGTATTTGTTAATTGGTGTTTAGCAGAGGACAGGATGAAAAAAGAAATTCTTGATTCTTTGCAAACTGATAAAAAATTTTGTGATAATTTGGAGTGATTATGAAATCTAATCTTTTAGGCTGTGCTGTTTACGATAAAGTTCGTGAACAGTTTATGTATTTGTCTTTTGTTAATTCCGTTGAGGAATACATTAGAAGTAATGTTGAAAATGTTATTCAGGCTTGTAAAAACTTGAATGATGTAGATGTATATGTTCTTTGTGAATACGACGTTGATAATGGTGACTTTATTCCCTGTAAAGTTAAACATGATTGGTCAGAGTATAAAATGCCTTTATCTAAAGCTGACGCACTTGCGCCACTTGGCGTTGAATTTGCTAAAGAAGCTCTCGAATATGAAGCATTTAAGGCTTCTAGAAAACAGGAGGAATCTAAATAATGGCAGACCGCTATTCTAATTTAAATGGTACTGCACCTGAAACAGACCCAACTAAACAGAAGTCTGTCAAAGTTCCAAAATCGGACTTTAATCTTTCATGTGCAAAGTATTTTAAAACAATTGACGGCTTGATTGTACCTTTTCATTGTATTCACGTATTGCCTAACAGTTCACATGATTTAGGTGTTCAGATTCGTGCAATTATGACTAATCCATATGTTAAACAGTTGCTCACTGGTAAACGTGGCTATGTTCACGCCTACCATAGTAACTGGTCAGATATTTGGGAAGGTGCTACTGAACTTATCAAAAAAGGTCGCTCGTTTAATGTAGAACTTGAATTTCCACATTTTAACAAAGTGATAAAAAAAGGTAATAAGGAATATACAACACACGTTGCTGGTGCTCCTTCTTCTTATCTTGGTTTACCTGTATATAAATATGATACAAGTAAATCACCACTTGAAAATATTAAACCAATTGCTCTTGATAATGCAAATGCAAAAACTATCAATAATTATGATAATTTTGAACATAACGCTTTACAGCTTGCTATGTTCCAGCAGATTTATCAGAGTGCTTTTTTAAATAAGAATCTTGTAAATAATAATACTGCTTGGTTGCCACAGGTTGAAAACCATTTTGTTTTGCCTTTGGAAGTATCTGGTAAAGCTGTTGCACAGTTGTCTTATGACGCAGACCAGTCGCAGGTAAATGAGGTTTCTGACGATGAAAACTTTGAATTTAATTCAGACTATTTCGTTCCTACTGATAAAGCGCCTGACACTGAAATATCTAAATCGAATAAGCCTTTTTTAAATGCTCCTCGTTTTAGACAGTTTAAAGGTGATATGTTTGTTAGTGGTTCACCATTTGCAGATTTAATGCGTGGTGATACTCCTGTTATGTCATTTGCTGATTTAACTGGTTCTATTAACTGGGATAATGTTGTTGCAAATTATACTAATAACAATGCTAATGTTGTTGTTAATACTGAATCTTCTACTCTTGCCTCTTTTGGTAATTCTTCTTCTTTTAAATCTGCTCTTGATAAGGCTATAGTTACTGTACAGAATCAACTTCAGTTTAATCTTAATTCACTTCGTGCTCTTGATGTTTATACATTACTTGGTGAACGTGCAGCTAGAACAGACGGTACTTATAATTCATTTATTGAAGCTATGTTTGGTGTTAATCCAAAAATGCATAGTCACGAACCTCGTTATCTTGGCGGTTTCTATCTTGACTTTGTTAACAATACTATTGAGCAGACTTCTGAAACTGGTGAAACTCCTCTCGGAACTGCTGTTTCTCGTGGTGTTTCAAACGGTAATGGCCACATCGGAAAGTTTACATTTTATGATCATGGTTATATTATGTTTGTTCTCTCAATTGTTGATGAAACAGTTTATACTAACGGTGTATCTAGAGATTGGACTTCCCTTACCTTTGATGAACAATATCTTCCACAGTTTAACAATCTTGCTCCACAGGCCACATTGCAACAGGAATTGTTCTTAACTGGTAATAAAGCCCAGAATGAAGAGCCATTTAACTTTGTAGAACGTTTTAGCCACCTTAAGAGTGAACAGAATCATGCTGTAGGACAGATGTCACTTCCAGCTTATCTTAAAGACGGTACTCCAATTGATTTGGAAAGTGCAGCATTTATTCATAGTCGTAAATTCTTTGATAAAGTTGAATTTAATAATAAGTTTGTAACAATGAGTATTGATAATCTCGATATGTCTCCTTATGCTTCTGCTGAAGATTATCCTTATTTAGTTACTGCTTTAATTCAAGACGAAGCTGTTGCGCCTTTGCCATATATTACTGTTCCTTCTGGATTAACTATTATGGGAGCTTAGCCAATGAAAAGATTATGTTATTCTTCTAGAGATTGTGGATTTATTTGGAAAAATTGGAAACCTAAAGTTGTTACCGATTTAGTACTCTGCGTTGATACCACTGCTAAGTATGTAACTGATAAAGTTAGAATTAATAATCAGGAAGTTACTACTGGTTCTTCTCGTACTGCTTTATATACAATGCCTGACGGAATTGATAATGGTGTTCGTTATGCTGCTTTGTATGAGCAGAAAGGACTTGATCCAACTGAAATTGAAGCTAATAAACAGCTTCTTGCTAATGCTAAAGAATCAGTTGAAGAAATGATTTCTAACGAAGTGCAGAAAGAGCTTGAAACTGTACAGGTTTCTAAATCTGATAGCAACGCTAACGAAGGTTAGTTTTTTTAAATCTCTCTGCTTAATAAAGTGTTACTCCTTTTCACTTTTCCCTATCTATTCTTGATAGGGTTTTCCCCTTTAACCTTACAAAAAAGGGTTTAAGGGGAAAAATGTGTTGTCCCCTTTTTACCTAATTATAAATTATATATTCTTCTTTATTCTTCCCTTAGCGTTAGCCCCCCCTTAGTCGCTTGACTTCAAGGGGGGGCGTACAAGACGGGGGTTGCCATAGAATGGCCATACGCGCGTGCGTGCGATTAACGCGTGCGTGTGCGAATGGCTTGATATTACAATTCTTTAAATTCACTAGATTACTTTTATAATCTAGAACTTGCCGAGTTATCCGCAAAATCCACAGTGCGTAGGCTCTTAAATTAGCCGTAGCTACTGTGGAGTTGGCGGGTAACTCGGCATATAACCTACTTTAATTCACTAATTTCATATTTTTACATACTATATATTTGTATTGTTTCTTGTGTTTTTCTTTATGTGTGCCTTGTTCCACATAAAGAAAAACTGACAGAATGTAAGAAATGTATTGTATAAAAATAAATTTGACAAACATATATTTGTGTAGTATAAAATATATAAATACTTAAATAATTTGTATCGAAATGTATTGACAAGATACACAGAACACATATTATAGTAAGTACAACGGATGACAGAATGTTATTCAGTCGTCTAAAACAGTAGATTAAATAGCTTGTTAAGTTTCCTTTAGTCACTGTTGTATTATTATCGGTCTTGAGTACTGGAAATCATTTGCTACGTGTGGTTTCCAGTGCTCTCTTTTCGAGGTACTTATTATGCATAGAGTTAAAAGTTCTGATTCTAGCCCTGTATCATTTCGTTGTGATTCTGATCTAAATAATTTATTTCAGAAAAAATATCCTTATTGTTTAAGTCAATTTTTAAAAAGAGCTATGAAAATGGCGCTCAATGATAAAAAATTTTTTGATAAAGTATTTTTTAGTGAGGTTGAATAATGAATCCATTTAAAGAAGGTATTTTTAGTTTTTAATACAAAAGGAAGTTCAGGTTCTCCGATTTCAATGGTGACAGACCCTTCTGGTTGGTGGGGATACTTATAAAAATGGTAAAACTACCCAGTTAGCTCAAGAAAATCTTGATTATCAAAAAGGTTTACAACAACAGATTTTTGAGCGTGAAGATACTGCTTATCAGCGTACTGCTAACGATATGCGTTTAGCTGGTTTAAATCCACTTTCAATGAATGGAACTAACGGTGCCGGTGAAGTTGTAGATACTACCCCGCCCGAAGATATGGGAAATCTTGCTGCTTTAACTCAAGTTTTCAATATGTTTTAATTCAATGCGTTCTGGTAATGCTTCCGCTAATTTGCAAAATGCACAGGCTGCTAATTTACAGAGTCAAACAACTACTAATGATATTTTAAATAAATATTATGAAGATACTCTTGATTTGGAAAATGTTGGTAGACAGTTTGATAATGAAATGAAAAATTTCAATTTAAGAGAATTGCGTCGTAATACTGCTTTCAATGATTTATACGGTTTATCTGATAATATGACACCTGAGTTGAAAAGTATGGCTTTTTTAAGTGGTCATGGTCCTTTATCTACTATTAATCCTAATACTGAAACTGATATTAATAATTTTGGTAGAAAAATTAATCATTCTAACCATGATTATTCAAAAAATATTGATTTTACTACAGCTATGCAATCTGACAAAATATTAAATTATATTTTAAGAATTGCCTCAAACTTATGGAAATTTAAATAGATGATAAGAGATTTTAAAACTAGTCAATTGTTAGGTTATAAGAAAGAATTGAAAGATGTTCTCGAAGGTATTGATTCTGCTTTAAATGCTCGTGCTTCTTTGTTAGAAGATTTTAGTTCTACTGCTAAAGCAGAAGTCCGCTATTCGTGATTCTCTTTGTGATCCAGAGTTTTATTATTATATAAAGTTCTTGGATAAAGCATTTTCTATAGTGAGGTTATATAATGCTCGTGAATGGTCTGATGATGATGATTTCTCGCTATCACTTTTCTATCCGTACTTATAATTTTCTATCCGTCTGATAATTACGGATTACAATATAGAAAATATTCTAATCATTGTGATTACGGTGATTTTTCTGATATTGCTGATATATGGCCTTATATGCGTGTTTACGCTTCTCAATTAATTTGTGAAGTTGGAAAAGATTGTTCAATCTGAATTAATGCCTTTAGTACTCTGCGTTGATACCACTGCTTCACTGCTTAATCCTCATTATAAAGACTGGCGATATACAAACGCTATAAAACCTTATTTGGAAGTTCCTTGTAACTGGTGCTTGAATTGTCGTGTAGACCGTCAAAACTGGTTATGCGATGCGATGAAATATGAGTGGAAAAAATATAATTATAAAGCTTCTTTCGTTACTTTTACTTATGATGATATACACTTGCAAGAGTTAAATAATGTAGTTGCTGATGACTTTGTTATTGTAAAAGATGATGACGGAACAAAACATAAATTATTAATGAAAGGTAATAAACCGATTGAGTTTAGCTTGCGTAGAAAACATGCTAAAGATTTTCTAAAACGTGTTCGTTCACAAATTGATTATTACTATGAAAAATACAATATTGAAAATTTTGAAAGTATTAGAAAAGATTTTAAAACATTCTACTGTGGAGAATATGGCGATATTTTTGGCCGCCCTCACTACCATTTTATCTTTTTCGGTCTTGCTCATGATTTTTGTGAAGAGCTTTTAAAGGATTGCTGGCAGAATGGCTTAATAGATGTATTGCCAATTAAAGATGGTGCGTTTGAATATGTAACTAAATATTTACAGAAACAATTGCACAGTTCACAAGCTGAGGAAGTTTATGATAAAAATAGTCTTGAACGTCCCTTTTGTTCTCATTCTTTAGGACTTGGTAAAGGAATTATTCTTGATAATTTAGATTATATTAAATCGCACTCTGGTTGTTATTTGACAGATAATAACTTACTCCGCCCTATTCCGATTTATTATAAAAATGCTCTTAAAATTAGAAGCACAATTTCTAATAAGCGTGTTTGTAACAATATGATTTCTCTAGGAATGAAAGCTGATAACCCTAATTTTTTAGCTGGTTTAAATTATGCTAATAGATATTCATTAAAAACTATTAATGAGTTTAGGAAACAACAGGCAATATTAAGACACCAGAAACTTGAAAGACAGTATTCTAATTCTGGCCAATCTTATGAACCTTTGATTTCATATGGATATTCAGGACATGATAAAATTCTTGAATTGGTAAAATCTGCACTGTTAGATACAGTGCCATTCTAGGAGGTAAGAATGAATAAGAGTACTGTACAGAAAGTTATAGGCTATATTATTGATATTGCAAAACTTGTTCTGCTTTGGCTTGGTGCTGTTAATTAAAGGTTTTTTAAAATGGATATTGTTGAAATTAAATCTTATATTCAGAAGTTGGAAAATATGACACAGCAGCAATTTAATGCCGAGGTTGTATTTGTTAATTGGTGTTTAGCAGAGGACAGGATGAAAAAAGAAATTCTTGATTCTTTGCAAACTGATAAAAAATTTTGTGATAATTTGGAGTGATTATGAAATCTAATCTTTTAGGCTGTGCTGTTTACGATAAAGTTCGTGAACAGTTTATGTATTTGTCTTTTGTTAATTCCGTTGAGGAATACATTAGAAGTAATGTTGAAAATGTTATTCAGGCTTGTAAAAACTTGAATGATGTAGATGTATATGTTCTTTGTGAATACGACGTTGATAATGGTGACTTTATTCCCTGTAAAGTTAAACATGATTGGTCAGAGTATAAAATGCCTTTATCTAAAG